TGAAATGTCCACTTAACCACGAGTGGCCGATTCCCCGTGGGCCCCTCAGAGAGCGGGGGTCTGGTGTCCCAGAGACCGGCTTCAGGAGGCTTTAGTTCGGCCGGCTGGTTCAGCTGAGCCCGCCGGAGGAGCGGGGACCCGGCAGGCCTGCTAAGCTCGTGGAGATTGGTCTCGGTCAGTCCTCCGCGGCCCACGCTTCCTGCCAGCCATCTGCCGGGGGGGTGGGGGGGGAAGGGGGGGGGGGGGTTCTGGCCGGCCCAGTAAAGGAATACGGGCTTAACCAGGAGCTCTGCGGGCCTGGCTGCTGGAACAGGAGCCCCGGCGGCTCCCGAGCCGGGCGCGTTAACGCCCGCGTGCGCGTTAACACCCGCGTGCGCGTCCCGCGCCCACAAAGCGGAGCCCGTCTGTGATCCGCCGGGACTCCGTGAAGGCTCATTTCACGGAGGCGTTCCCGTCTAATGATCGGATTGCGGAGCGCAGCCCGGTGTTTAAGATGAGTTAAAGGACCACAAGGTCTCCATGAACGTGAGGGGTTTCTGAGGGCTATTTTCAGTGGAGAACATTTAAAGGGCAGATTTCGATGCCGTTGTGTCTCACAATCACCCCCCATCCTTTAAATTTAAAAACAGAAATGTTAAGATCTTAGTTTTTTTTTTTTTTTTAAACTTTTTTTCCTTTTTTTTTTTTTATAGACAATGTGCCTAAAAATAAGTCTGCTCGTGGTAAAATACTGATTCATTAAACTGAAAGAAATTTTGTCAAAGATTTGGGAAAAACGAACCGGACTTTGTTAATCGTAATTCTAAGTGTCTGAGGGTTCAAACCGGCCACATTTTGCGTCTCTTTTTTGTTGTGGGTCTGCGTCGCGTTTGGATGCGCGTTAACAGGTTTTCGGGGGAAAAGCTGACAGAACACGACCATCAGGCTCCAAGTCGCTGTAATAAGTTTTTTATTTGGGGTCTCAGTGTCCGCTCATATGAATGCGTTTTAAATCAAATCCCAGATGCACTTTTATTCAGTCGGTTAAAATAGCAGAACAAAACCGTCTTTAGAAATTAAGCTTTCTCTTTTCTTTTCTTTTCTTTTTTTTTTATTCCACTGGGGCTTTTTTCTTTCTCCCCTTCTTTTTTGAAGGCGAGAAGGGAAGAGAAAAGGCCGAGGGGAGCCTCCTCCAGCTGAGGGTGACAGTTAGTTCATGCTTAACAGGATCAGGAGCGCGCGGCCCCGGCCGCACACTTCTCCCTCACTGAATGAAGCCTGCGCCAAAAGAGTGATATTTAACACATCTGTTAAAGCGTTTTGATAGCAGCAATCCGTTTAAGACATTATTCCATGACGAGGGCCAGATTGAGTGTTGAGAATCCTATGAAACCCTAAAGGTGATTTACATGTGAGACGCAGCCAGAGCCACACTTTAGGACCACTGAGTGGGTTTAGTTCTAAAATATATTGCGCATTTATGGAACATTCGTGTTTATTTGCGTTGCATTAAAAGTAAAAGTTCATCACAAAACGGAAGACATCGAAATTCTGTGCGTTTTGTTTTTGCTAATAATCACCCCGACAGAAAAAGAATAAAGTCCATGTCTTCACGGATCGGTGGAGGTTCCAGGATGATGCAGATCTAAATATGGCTCTTTAATTAGGCTGCGTGCTCCGGCCACACAAAACGGGTTGAAAGGAAAGTGGTCAACATGCAAAATTGATGACCGGGCCTCTTTGTGCTCCCGGCTTTGTGGATTGCTTACTTATGAAGTCTAATGCAATCATAAATTGCACCCACCGGCCAATCAGCGGGCCGGGGGAGGCCGCATGAAAGCGACCCATGTGGAGAACTTTGTTGAGCTCTATTGTTGGGGCTGTCAGCCCCGAGAGCGCAGCCGGGGGGGCGGCCGCTATAAAACTGCTCTCCCCCGAGTGAGGAAGCCAGAGCCAGTTAGCCGCCATTCACACGACTGATTCCCACCCCGGAATATTTCTGACTCCACACCCGTGATTATTCTTTTTTCCTCCCGACCCGCCGGGAGCATGATGATACCAGGCGTCCTGGCCCCCCCGGCCCTGTACCCGGGCCTGTACCGGCCCTCCGCGGCGCTGCCCCCCGGGCTGCCGGCCGCCTTCCCCGCGCCCTCCGGCTTCCTGGTGGAGGACCTGCTCCGCATCGGCCGGCCCGCGGCCTTCCTCACCCGGACGGGGCCCCCGGCCGGCCTGGGCCTGCCCGGCGGGGCCTTCCACGGCGCGGCGGCCGCCCCCCCCCGCGGTCACGCGCGACGCCTGCTCGCCCAAGACGTCCGCGAGCAGCAAAGACCCGAGCTTCCTCAAGTTCGGGGTGCGCGCCATCCTGGCCCCGTCGCCCAGGACCGGTGAGTTGGCGAAGCGAGCGCGCTCGCGCGCACGCCGTGCTCAAACCCGTCCTGCACGCGCGCGTGTTATGCCCGGTTTTTTTAAACGTGCCTCTCCTCCGCAGCCTCCGCGCCCGCCGCCGTGCACAGCCTCCACTCCAAGGGCTTCCCCGTGCCCTGCTTCGACGGGGCGTTCCACCCCATTTTCCGGACGCCCTTCTTACCAGGTAGGTGCCCCCCCTAACCGTCTCTTCCCCCTCCGCGCGCGCTGACGGCATTTAGACGCAGGGCGCTGCCACCCCCGTCCCGGATCCTGCGTAAACCCGCGGAAGAAAAGGGACAAACAGCCAGAAAAGCAGAAATCACTGTCTCGTTAATGGG